GGGAACCTGGTTCAAATATTCTGTTGTAACAATAGAGTTGAAATCCTGATTCTCTAAACTATGCTCTGAGAGTGAGTGACTTCAGTGAAAAAACAGATATCCTTCAAGGAAAAAATGCCATAAAATAACAAGTGTCAGGGGCTAGAAAGACCAGACAAGCTGCTCTGACTTGAGCTATCTTATAGGTGCCTTAAACATAAGTATGGTTGGAATACCCAGCACACTTACCTGAGAACCTAATTCCTTAATCTGGCACCTGATTCTTGCTAGTTAGGTTTTAGGAATAGATCAAAATGTGCTCTTATTTACACTGACTTAAATCTGGAGTAGTTCCATTGAATAGTGTTTGCACTAGCTATGTATTGTACTTCTTCTTTTTTTTTCTTTTTCTTTTCCTGCTTCATACAACAGGTTTGCTCACAACAGTTGATTTAGTTGCAGAAAATGAATTAGGGTTACTGGTGTGCAGTGTTGAGTTTTATGATGGGAGTATAAAACATTTGCTTTAGAGAACATGGCTAACTGTCTTTTTTAAACCTGCTGTCAATAAAAACCAAAAGCTACAATTAAAAAAAAGACTTGGAAGCGGCCCAAGAGAGTAACTCTGGAGATTATTTGCTGTCATCATTTTGGGCCCAATCCTCCACACCGTTACACTGGTTTTGTGGTGGTGTAGACCCTTTGATCCCAGTGAAGCTGTGTTAGTGTAAAACTGTGGCAATGGAGTGTAGGTTTAGGCTCTGCATTTAAACAAAAATTCCGCCCAAAGTCCCCTGCATTAAGGGCCTCGTGCAAAGTCCACTGAACTCAAGACTACCCAGGGTTTTGGATCAGGCCCTAAGAGAACATTAAGTTTGGGTAGGTAAGTGCTTAAAATCAAGTGTGTATGTGCATCTTTAACAATGGCCTCTGCACTATCATCATAGGCTTTAATTATGTAAGGCCATCAATTTTGGCAAATAGAGAAAATGCTGTTCTCCCAGGAAGATAATTGCCATGTTGGCTGAGACCAATGTTCCATCTAATCAGTATCCTGTCTCTGACAGTATCTTTTCTGTCGCCCTAGATGCATATGTAACACTTTGTAACTTTCCATTCTTTTATACTTCACTCCTGTCATCCTTGTAATGTTCCATTACAATAGGCTTGAAAACTTACCTGTGAGAGCGCAAGGCTTTTCATATGTGTCTGAACAATTTTCTTTTCAAACGGCAGCACAGCCTGCCATAAGTACAAGTGAGGGGATGAGTCACTTAACTATGAAGTTAATTTGGCTGTGAATTTAGCGACCTATATATGCCAGCTGATTACTCTAGGCTATATAGTTAGCCTGTTGGATGTTGTGTACCAGTGGTTTATTGTGTACTTCTCATCTGAATGACTTCCCTGGACTGTTTCTCTGGCATTTGAGCTAGCACATGATGCTAGAAAATGACACTTACTAGATAGCAAGTGTTTTGGGATGGGGGTGGAGTGGGCGAAATAAGTGCCTATATAAGACAAAGCTTCAAGTATCAGGACCAGGGCCGTCCAGAGGATTCAGGGGGCCTGGGGCAAAGCAATTTCAGGGGCCCCTTCCATAAAAAAAGTTGCAAAACTATAGTAACATGTATTTGGAAATGTAAAAAATAACCAGTGAAATACATTTAAAATTAATTTTAATAATTTGAAAATACACAAAATACATTATTTGAAAACATTAAATGCTTTAATGGTATGTATACATTTGCAATTACATAATGCTTCTTATGAAATTATTTTTGTTACCAATTGTTCTGAACATTAATTATACAGCTGGAATTTTTTTCTTCGCTTTCATTTTGGTGAACTCATTAATAATGTCATCAAAACGTATGTCTTTGGCCATTTCATATTCTATGCTCAAAGTGAGTAAATGGTTCAGCCTTTCTTCCCCGGTGGCTGAACGCAAACTATTTTTAATCAATGTTAGCTTACTAAATGCACGCTCTCCCGATGCTACTGACACTGGCAACACTGTTAGTAGGCATAAACAAATCTGTGGAAACACATTTTCCAACCCTTTTTTGAAGAGAGCATTAAGAAGTGCAAGTGCAGAGGTTATATGTCCATCAACTCTTAAGTTGGAATCTTCTTTTATTTTGTAAAAGATTCTAAGTTCCTCTTTTAAGATCTTCTCTCTGGAGGTCTTTTGGATATGCTGTGGCCAAAGTGTCAACAAAATTTTCTATAGAAGATTCATCCACTTTATCTGGCGGACACAAAATGGGTGAAAATAAATTTGAGACTTCAGCCATTCTTTCACCAAGACTTCCTAGCTCTGATAGAAGCAAATCCATTGTCAGGAAGAACACCTGTACTTTGAACTGAATATTGGGAGAGTCAAACGTATAGTCTGCATCCCCTGTGTTGTCAAAGAATCGCTTGTTCTTCCGGATCCTTGAGCCACTTTTCATTTTTGGGTCAATGCCGAGGCTTGAAGCGACTTGTTTGGCTTCTTCAAAAAAAATTGGCCAACAATCTTTCAATGTTTGAATTACCTTGACTAATTTGCTCATGTGTTTAGTTCCCTCTTCCATTGTTGATTTGGCGCTTTGCAGGACCTTGTTCTTATCATCAA